CTTTTATAATACAATTATATCATATACTTTTGCACAATCCTGTGTTTGACTTAAGCATCGGAGGGGCGACGAGCACACACATCGTTGCCTTTGTTTCAGGTACCGGAAGGCGCAATTCGTGTTCCATCTCAGTCCTCAAGCTCTAGATCTACCAGGTATGATTTTTGGTAGCATCATTGGCGCCATCTGTGGAAAACACTACCAAAATCCATGGTGAATACATGATCAGGTCTTCCACAAGCAAGCTCATCTATACCAAATCCTCCCCCTGAAGATCATCCTATCCCTCAAGAGGAATCATCAGAGATAGCAGCACCACCACCGGAGCTTTCGGATGGTGATCTGATGGTAGCTGCTCTAGCTCGAGTTCGGGCTCCACAAAATATTCCTGATAACAGTGTTGGAACCTCGGGTGTACCTCCTATGACCGCGGCCTCAAGGGCAGTAACGATGGAATCGGGTGAACTTGCTAGAATCATCTAAGAAGGAATTACCGCGGGCCTAGCACAGAAAGCTAAGGGGGCAATAGGCTTTACCCCTAGCACTCCCTTTACTCCTGAAATATTATCATTCCCTCTACCTGACAGGTTCAAGTACCCCGTGTGAAAGAGTAAGATGGTACTACCCCTATCAACCATCTGAACATTTATACCGATGTCATGAATCTCCAAGTTGCCCCCGATCAATTTATGTGTAGAGCTTTTCCTCAAACATTAACCAACGCAGCCCGAGACTAGTTTTCAACTTTGGAGCCAACCTTCATAGCCTCTTTCTCGGATCTAGCCTACAAGTTTTTCGCCTTCTTCGCCAGTAGCAAGCGCATCAGGAAAACAGCAGCTTCCCTCATGCAACTTCGACAAGGGCAGAATGAATCCCTTCGCAACTTCATGACTAGATTCAACAAGGAAAGACTCCAGATTCCAGAGCTCCATATCACAACCATAGTCTCGGCCTTAACACATGCCATAAGGTGTGAAGCGTTCAAGATATCTCTATCAAAGACCCCTCCTACGTTAGTAACCGACCTACTTACTTGAGCCGAGAAGTACATCAACATGGAAGAGACTATGTTTCCAAAAAGAGATGCCCACCATCAGCTAAGCCCGAGCTTAAAAGGCAGCATCAGCTTAATCTGCATCAAGATCAGCTTCAGGGTAAGACAAGGCATGATAACCCTTCAGCAGCCTTTACTCGCCTGAATACCACAAGATCTAACATTTTGATGGAGATCAAGGATATGAAAGAGCTCAAATGGCCGTCAAGGATGAAGTCCTCTTCTAAGCCCCGGGACATGAACAAATATTGTGAGTTTCATCAAGATAATGGACATACCACAGAGACATGCAAAGCCTTACAGCGCGAGATCGAGTCTTTGATCGAGAGAGGATTCCTAGGGGCATATGTTGGTCAAGACAAGCGTTCGAGGAATGATCATAACTAGGCAAATACCTCAGGGACTAGGGATAGCAATGGACCAACGGCAGGGATGATCAATGTCATTGTCTAGATGGTCAATGCCATACACCTAATGTACCAGGGTCTTACATGTTTTTATGCCCCATTTATTTTCATTTCGTAATTGGTAGGGCCTACGTGCCGATTTTATCTTGTAGCTGGTCGGGTCTGCGTGCCCATATTAGTTTGTTAGTTGATCGGGCCTGTGTGCCTATACTTTTCAGCTTATTTTGGTTAGGTGTCAAGATGCCATCCCAATAAAAATCTACTCTTCCAACCCATGATAGCACATGAAAGCCTTGCCCCTGAGCAAGCACCTCTAAGCCTTGCCCGGTGCAAGCACTCAAAGCCTTGCCCTCGAGCAAGCACCTCTAAGCCTTGCCCCGTACAAGCACTCTAAGCCTTGCCCTGCGTAAGCACTCAAAGCCTTGCCCCCGAGCAAGCACCTCTAAGCATTGTCCCGTGCAAGCACTCAAAGCCTTGCCCTAGAGCAAGCACTCAAAGCCTTGCCCCCGAGCAAGCACCTCTAAGCTTTGCCCTTGAGCAAGCACCTTTAAGCCTTGTCCCGTGCAAGTACTCTAAATCTTGCCCTCGAGCAAGCACTCTAAGCCTTGCCCTCGAGCAAGCACCTCTAAGCCTTGCCCTCTCGAACAAGCACCTCTAAGCTTTGTCCCCGAGCATGCATCTCGAAGCCTTGCCCCGCGCGAGCACCTATATGTCTTACAATGCATTAAGTAAAAATTTCGACCATTGGTCTATTCCGACCAAGGGTTCGGGAGCCTATCCTCGAGCTCAATACATTGTCAAAATCCCAACAAAGAGCGTGAGCTCGAGCTCGAGCCTTTCAGTACACACCTGGACAAAGCTGGAGGTCCAACCCTTTTGCGAGATCTCGAGGTCGAGCCTCTTACATATCAAGTTTTGCCAGAGCTCGAGGTCGAGCCTCTCACATATCAAGATTTTCTAGAGCTCGAGGTCGAGCCTCTTACATATCAAGTTTTGCTAAAGGTCGAGGTCGAGCCTCTCACATATTAACTTGCCACAGCTCGAGGTCGAGTTTTTTACATATCAAGCTTTGCCAGAGCTTGTGGTCGAGCCTCTCACATATCAAGCTTGCCAGAGGTCTAGCTCTTTCGCTTAATGCCCTTTACGTGCTCGAGGTCGAGCTCTTTCGCTTGATGTCTTTAACAAGCTTGAGGTCGAGCTCTTTCGCTAGAAGTCTTTCACAAGCATCTGGTCGAGCTCTTTTGCTTGAAGTCTTTAACAAGCTTGACGTCGAGCTCTTTCGCTTGATGTCTTTAACAAGCTCAAGGCCGAGCTCTTTCGCTTGATGTCTTTAACAAGCTTCAAGTCGAGCTCCTTCACTTGAGGTCTTTAACAAGCTTCAGGTCGAGCTCTTACGCTTGAGGTCTTTCACAAGCTTCAGGTCTAGCTCTTTCGCTTGAAGTCTAAACTTAACAATCATCAGGTCGAGCTCTTTCGCTTGAGGTCTTTCACAAGCTTCAGGTCGAGCTCTTTCGCTTGAAGTCTTTAATAATCATTGGGTCGAGCTCTTTCGCTTGAAGTCTTTAATAATCATCGGGTCGAGCTCTTTCGCTTGATGTCTTTAACAAGCTCAAGGCCGAGCTCTTTCGCTTGATGTCTTTAACAAGCTTCTGGTCGAGTTCTTTCGCTTGAAGTCTTTCACCAGCATCAGGTCGAGCTCTTTCGCTTGATGTCTTTAACAAGCTCAAGGCCGAGCTCTTTCGCTTGAAGTCTTTAACAAGCTAGAGGTCGAGCTCTTTCGCTTGAAGTCTTTAACAATCATCAAGTCGAGCTCTTTCGCTTGAGATCTTTCACAAGCTTTAGGTCGAGCTATTCGCTTCATATCTTTAACAAGCTTCAAGTCGAGCTCCTTCAATTGAAGTTTTTGACAATCTCTGAATCAAGCCCTTCCTTTAGAAATCTTTTAATGAGCTTGAGGTCGAGCTCCGTTCTTTTAAGATTTTAACAAGATATGGTCGAGCCCCTTTCAAATGTGCTCGGGGGCCTATTAACTCAACATGAGTATGTCTATTCTTATGCATCTCATGCCAGAAACTCTCACATTGCACATGAGCTACTGATATGGATGCACGGGGGCCTGTGATATGCACAAAAATTGTAACCCGGTCTTGAGCATTCATGTACAGCCTGAGGTGTTTACCCCGAGCATACATGTTCCCCAAAACCCTCACAAGGTCGAGCTTCATGTAGGTTGGGCTTACAAGGTCGGGCCAACCAACTCTTCCTAAATTGCCCGATATGAGGTCGGGCCTATAGATTTAGGTTGGGTCTCACTGTCCACTACGGGCCACGTGTCCGTTAACATAATTTTTGCGGAAAGGTAGTCATGCTCCAGCTATAATTCTTTGGATCCTTATCTAATTGTCTAACATACTCCTCCTTAGATCCAAACTCAAGTAGAACACTTTCAACAAAACTCAAACACCTAATCCTAGGAGGAAAGGACTCTAAGTAGTTGAATCCTCCAACAATTCTATCACCAACACCTATAAATACACGGTCAAGGCTCATTATTGAGGTACGCTTTTATAATACAATTGTATTATATACTTTTGCACAATCTCGTGTCCGACTTAAGTATTGTAGTGGCGACGAGCACACACCTTGTTGCCTTTGTTTCAGGTACTGGAAGGCGCAGTTTGTGTTCCATCTCAGTCCTCAAGCTCAGGATCTACTAGGAACGATTTTTGGTAGCATCAGAACCCAAAGGTTGTTCTTTCCATTCCCAAACTCGAATAGTCTGCTCTTAATGGATTTGGATCGGTCTAGATGGTTCAAAATAGAGTTATCGTTCAACATAATATTCGAGTTTACAATAATTTCAAATCATATCTAACTATTGTTTTTTTATCATTCGATAGAACATAAGCGTGTTAAAATTAAATTTAAGTTGTTAAAGAAAAGTCTGCAATAAATGCACGTAATTCGTCACCACTTACTTACTTAAGTTATTTGAAATAGTTAAAATAATGTAATTTAAGAGCTAAAGTTTAAAATCTTGCACTACAATATGAGGATTTCTCTATAAGCATAAGATTATATTCAAGAGATTTGTTAAAGATAAAATGTTTTATATTTTATAGAGTTTTATAATACTCATAATAAAGTTTCATTATTCTATTTATTGATTTTAAATACAAAGTGAATATGACATAGAGCCAAACTCACTATTTAAGTAGTTTGATGAATTGCAAATTTTAATCCTCGTCGTCTTTCATTATTTAAAAAATACTATCCATTAATTTTTATAAATAGAATGCATTAAACGAAAGAAATAGAAAAAATAATAAGCCCATATTATGATATGGATAAAAAATATATATATAAAAATAAAATCTGATTTTAATAGATATTAACCAAAATTGATAAAATCTGTCATAAAAATATATAATTTTAATTAATTTTTTAAATGCTAATGTTAGAGTGAATATAAAAATGAACTCTATTAGACGATAAGATTTGTTTCATTTTGACGTGTTATATCTAAAATAAACACACGTGTACATGCGATTTTAAACGTGTCTAGCTTTTACACAGAGTTCGACACCTCACCACTGCCTTCGCTTATTTATGAACAGTAAAGCATGCCATGGGAGGGACGAAGAAAATAAATTGAACTATAAAAATATTATTATTTGGTAATTCTGGAGAGAGGCATAATTCATTTCAAGATAAGTGGAAATGGGTGGCGATAAGGCGTTTAGGGCTCTGCTCGTGGTGGTTCTTCTGGCGGTGGCAGTTGGCGAGCAAGAGGTTCAAGGCCCAGTGCACCATGTGGTCGGCGGACACCGCCGTTGGGACCCTACTTCCGACATCAGTTCTTGGTTGTCCGGACGAGTCTTTAGGGTTGGTGACAAAATCTGTAAGCAACAATCTTCTTTAAAGCTCTATTTTGTTGCGAGTAAAAGTTAATTTTTTCAGGAAATAAGTTTAAAAACTTGAGAAAGTGAAAAACACATCCAAGAAAGTTTAGACAATCTAACTTTGGTTTGTGCAGGGTTCACCTACTCAGCACCACAGGAAAGCGTCGTGGAGCTGCAGAGCCTGGAGGAATTTCAATCGTGTGATCTCTCGAACCCTATCAAGATGTACACGGACGGTGTAGATCAAATTCCACTGGAGAGGGAAGGGAACAGGTACTTTGTGATTGGGAACCAGGAAAATTGCAGCAATGGTCTAAAGCTACACGTTGATGTGAAGCCTTTGGAGACGCAGCAGCTGCCTAACCAATGGTCGCAACCACCGCCATTTCAGCCTCCGCCTCCAGCTGAGCCTAAGCCGGAGCCTTTCCCTGTGCCAGTGCCTGAGCCGGACACACCCTCTGGCTCGACCCAATTAAACGGGCTTTCGTTTGGTCTCTTTGTCGGTTTTCTGCCTTGCTTCTTGGGCCTATTGATGGGACTTTAGTGGCCCTGTTTATTAAGGATCTGTTTGGATTGGGTTGAGAACCAATTTAGTTTATTTTTGTCTGTAACGTTAAGAAGACCACTGGGGCTTGGTTGTATTTGAACCAGTTTTATTGGGTAATAATTGAACTTTTTCTAAGTGGTAGAAATTCACGAGATGTCCACAGAAAATGAGATCATAAAATTCTTCCACACATACTTCTCTCGTTCAGTAATTAGGGATTGAAAAAAAAAAAAAACACGAGGCTTCACAACAAGTTCAATATTTATCAATCCACGAATTTGACAAACATTCTACAGATGGATAGAGTTTACCTCTCTCTCAAAACTACGTAGTTTGCCTCCTGGGTCTTCTGTATCTTTGATATTCTTCTCAGTGTAGCAGCGAAAGCATCCTTATCCTGCATACGAGTAAATTACCCAATTGTATGATAAGCAATTATCTTGCATTAACACGTAAATGTACTTGATTTAATTAGCATATGATATGAAAAACGTAAACTCCCAACAAGTAACAGTTAATAATCCAACAAGAAAAGGGACCATCAAGTTAAATAAACATCAAATGACCCAATTTTTTTACCTCTTTCGACTTTAGTCTAGATTTAAATTTGCCAACAAGATCCTGTGTGGTCACTTGTGTCTTCTGCATTAACACGGCCTTGATTTCATCTGCTGTAACTAGTCCAGTGGGCGGCGTAGCCCCAGATTTTGAAGGTGCCGATGGTAATGCACTTTTAGAAGGTGTACTTTTTGCCACGGATGCAGTCTCACTTTTCACAGACTTCAGTTCCTTAATCACCACCACCCAAGAATATATGTATTATGTACGAAGAAAATAAAGAGGGAGCAATGCTGTGAATTTTCGTAAATAAGTTTGATCTAAAGTACACTGAAGGCAACTACTTACATTTTCTGTTTTTGATTTCTTCATAGGTGTAGAATTAGTTGTTTTTGACTCTTCACCACTAACTTTTCTTTTCCCCTTTGAAGACTTAGAAGTAGGCGGGGTTCCACGACTAGATCCAGAAGCAGCAGATTTCAATGGACTGTTATTCTCAACTGGTTCTTCTTTAAGAGCTTCCTTCTTTGGGGCAAGTACGGGAGAAATATCATCTTCCATCTAACAAAACAAACAAAAAAGCATTCTTGTCGGCCAGCTAGTAAGAGACATAAGATCAACTGTAACTCCTCACAACTTTGCCAAACTGCCATAGTAGATAGAAAATGAACAGTCAGTGTCTCTATTAGGTAAAAGTGCCAACTCGACCAAATGCAGCCATCAGGGGATAAAATATGAGAGAATCAGTGTTGAAGACAAAATTTTAAATAAATTTGTCTTAAGCTTTTAGATAATTTCAATCTCATCATCAATCATTTATGAAACTGAAAAAAAAAAAAAAAAATGAATCCAGCCTGCACGTGAGAGGACGCATTGTAGACTAAATTTAAATAAATCAAGCATCAAGGACGTGTTGTAGACTAAATTTAAATAAATCAAGCATCAGGTTTCGATGAGGTGTGGGTCAACAGTCAGAATCCCAAGCAGAAGAAGGTTTCAGGTTTGTCTGAGCAAATTTATCTTAAAGAGATAGCATTCTTTGTGAATCATTGTAACAGAAATGCATATAACTTCTCCAAGTAATGAGTTATTTCATTTTACCCCCCTCGTGATAAATAGATATTCAGAGTACTCTAGAATAATTTCGTTGCTGAACATAGTATTTAGACAATAGTAACAAGAAACCTACATCGTCATCATCGTCGTCGTCATCCTCCCCATCTGAATCACTTAGCCCGTTAGCTCTTCCAAGCAGTTTCTTCAACTCCTTCCCAGATTTGCTCAGCCCTCCCTCTTCTTCATCGGCTTCATCCTCATCCTCTTCATCCTGAAACAAATTCAAAATGCCACAGATATAACACATATGAGATCATGGATCACATTACAAACAGAACCATCAGCAAAGGAGAATATGGAATTTATTAACATTTAGCCCCTATTTGATAGAAATTAAAATTTAGACTTTAATATAAGACAAAGTCATCAATTAATTTTAACCACATATTTTATGGGATCCATGATTTTTCAACCACACATTTTATCAAATTCTATCAAAATCTACTAAAAATTTAATTTTAATCCCCACCAAACATGGGCTTAATGTGCGGCCAAGAAGATATCATAATCCAACTTCCAAACTAATCATAATCCAGAAAAAGGAACTGAACTTTAGGGAGAGAATAAGAGTTAATTTTCAAATTAAAGGAACAAAAGAAGCAGTAGCTGCTACACATATATTCCCCATTTGAAGGAAGGAAGACATCTCAAGATTTATAGGCACTTCACCAGCTTTTGCAAAATAATGCTAATTCTTGTATAGCGTATTTATTTTTATTTTCCCCAAGATTCCAACAGAATTAGTAAAACTCTCTCTCTTTCAGATATGCCTTCCTGTAAAGGTACCTTGAGGTGTCATCATGGTTTCTGTCCTCGCTACTTTCTGATGTCAAAACATTGAGGGCTGTCACGTGAGTACTTCATGAAGTACCATCCAGACCATGTGTAGATGACCACTTATTGGCTTAGCACGTATGGTCTCAGGGCATTAGGCACCTTCAAGCTAACTTTATGCATCCTAAAAGAGTGTCTAAAAACCCAGTAAAAGTCTGGAATATTGCCGGCTGTGTTAAGCATTAATTACTGGATAACCTACATTTGACTCCTGCACACAAAATTCACCCCCCTCTCTCTCACTCCGGCATATGGTTTCATAAAGCATTCCAGTAACCAAAACCAACATTTTCTCTACAATTTGCAACTTTCTGCAATCTGGAAAGGATCTCACACATCATAATCATCTCGGATAAGAGCATTTACTGGACAGGACTACATTCAATCCTCAAATCACTTTCAATCAATGTACATAGCTAAGCATACACTATACCATGCATTGTATTTTTCTAGCCACTGTTGCATGTCAGGATCATTAAGTTTAGAGGCACAAAGTGATAGGATCCTTGATTGTTGCTGCCAAACTGATAGTTGCAGATTGAAACTCTTTGACTACCAAAGGCTGGGCAGCTGCTTGAAGAGCACTGAAGCTATTTTTTGTAAAGTATTTTTTGAGTATTGAATTGTGGAATGTAAAACAATTGTATATGAATTGATGAAATGAAAACAGGATTGAAATGATAATTTACAGGCTATTCGAGATGCCTTGGTTCTCTCCACTCTTTTCTCAACTAATCCTTCAATGCATTCCCCAGCTCCCCACTATTACATTTATAGCTATTCTACTATATTTCTATTCCCCCTTTTACCCTTTCGCTAACCACCTAGTGGAACAAACTAGAACCTTGAATGAATAACTTGTATGAGCCAATCTTATTGGAAGTCGGAGCCTTATCATTACTCGCCCCCTGAAATCCACCTTGTCCTCAAGGTGGAAGTTGTTGCGTCTTCATCATACAACCCCACAAATTTTTCTGCAAGAAATCCAGTTAAGGTCACCACTGAAAGGGGACATTTCCACCCTTTGAAGTGAAAGGACTAATTTAGTCGAGCTACAATCACAAGTATAACATCCAAGGCAACTCCATAGCCCGTTGCCCCTACTCACAAAATACCGATGTCTTGTATCCGACGAGCTAAAATGAAATTGGAGGCTTGGTAATTTGAATATGCTACCTGGGAAGGTAAGTTGGACGGGTTAAGCTTGCTATTTGGGCTATAGGAGTTGGTTTTAGTCTTATATGGATTGTAGATTGAGTAGGCCTTTTTCATAGAATTGTTTTTGTCTTCTCCAATTTCAAAATTTGGCCCAATATCTGAAGCTTTACGCATCTGTTATCCCATGACATAGGTTGACACCCATTAACAGAATAGTGACAATAGTCCTTCAATAACTCATCTGGAAGTGACGGTAAGCAAGAGGCCAGTCTTTGAAACAACCTCCAGTAGTCCCTGCGTTTCCGGCCAGCGTCGATTTCATCAGATTTAGGTGGAGCTTCAGAGGTGATGGTGGTTTCGAGTGGCAAAGTGGCTTCCGTCCCTTTCTCCTCTCTTTTCTTCTGTACCTCAGCATCAGTCAACTTCTTAATTGGCAGGGAGTGTGATGTGGAGCACGGTGTTGGTTGTTGATTTGGGAGAGGTCGTGGTTGTTTGGTTGGAGTTTGGAATGATCTTCTTCTATGTTTGGAGAGGTAAATAATGGGGTCTTGGGTTGTAACTAATAATTTTAGCCTTACGTAGGCCAAAATTGGATTGGACTTTCTTCATGGAATCCTTTTTATCTTCACCCTTTTGGGCCAATTCCATAATGTCACCCAAACTATGTGATTTAAGCCTTATAACTTCAGTTCCACCCCACTGTTTCAACCTATTGTCGACACTCACCTCCAAACCCAAGCTCCGATTTCCTTTGTCGGCATATTCCCCATGGATGGTGATGATGGTTTTGGGCAGAATGACTTCCCCTTCTTTCTCCTTTTTCTCCTAATCATCGATTTCTTCAATTTTTGGTACGATTTCAAAATTAATGGTGGGCTCCAGCAAAGTGACTGCGAACTCATTTTCCTTCCTGTCCGGCTCCTCCCGGTGGTACGTATTGAGGGGACTTACTCCAGATTCCTCCAATTTTGGGGAATTTTCGAGGTGATGGTGAGTTCCGATGAATTTTCTATTATCCCCTTCTCATCCTTCCCGTCTGTAAATTCACCGGCAAAGGAGATCTGCTTCACGACTGGCTTCTCTGTTTTCCTCCTGTCCGGCTCCAGCACGGATTCCTTCTCCACCGATGATGGCGATGGAGATACTTGCAACTTACCACTCTGTTCTTCTCGTGCTATCTCCCTGTTCAACTCATCCTTCTTCCCGTCTGAAAATTCCCAACGAAGATCTGCTTCTCGTGGAATCAAGCCATCATCATCTTCAATTATTCCCAAGTTCGAATAGGGTAGCGATTGTCTATCCCTTGAAACCATGCCCAAGCCTCTCCAACGAAGCAAGCAACTGCGGCTTGTACCTTTGCCCTCTCCGGTAAGCTACGAGTCATGCTTAGGCATCGCTCCGCCTCAAACAACCATAAATCTAAATTATCCCCATAGAATATCGATGTGTTGAGGCGGCCACATGAATCCAACCCTGAATCAACAGCTCGATCTCCTCTCTGCTGTGTTACCATCTTCTCCAACGTACTTCTTATCATGCTCAAACTCTCCTTTAATTCTCTGTTGACAATAGTTTCCATTAGTTTGAGAATTGATCGCTTTGATACCAATTTGATAGGATCCTTGATTGTTGCTGCCAAACTGAAAGTTGCAGATTGAAACTCTTTTGACTACCAAAGGCTGGACAGCTGCTTGAAGAGCACTGAAGCTATTTTTTGTAAAATATTTTTTGTGTATTGAATTGGGGAATGTAAAACAATTGTATATGAATTGATGAAATGAAAACAGGATTGAAATGATAATTTCCAGGCTATTCGAGATGCCTTGGATCTCTCCAATCTTTTCTCAACTAATCACTTCAATGCATTCCCCAGCTCCCCACTATTACATTTATGGCTATTCTACTATATTTCTATTCCCCCTTTTACCCTTTTGCTAACCAACTAGTGGAACACTCTAGAACCTTGAATGAATAACTTGTGTGAGCCAATCTTATTGGAAGTCGGAGTCTTATCACAAAGATGATTATCTAATAAAATGTGAAAGCAAGCAACACACGAAGTAATTATTTTGTATAACTTTACAGAGACTGAAGCAATATAAATAATCACCTGCTTAATTTCTGGAGGAGCAGGGATTTCTGGGGCCAAATCTTCTCGTTCCTCGGGATCATTTCCGACGGCTTCATCGTCATCGGTGAAAATTTCTTCATGCTCCCAATCATCACCTAGATAATAAAACAAAAGCACCTCAGCAAGGAACTGTAATGCAGCAACAGTGACGATTGACGAATCCACTTCATCGAACTATCCAAAGATACAAGGACAGCAGAAACATGCGTACTCACATGACAGAACTAATAGGAATAAAATATGATGAACAAACTCATGAAATGATCCAAAATATAAAATACCATCACTAAATTATTTTTTCCAGAGGAAAATATATGGTCAGACCACTCAATGACTGCAGGTGCTAGTTCAACAAAATTCTTACTCTCCCAACTATAGGTTCATTGGTTAAGGGCACACCAGAGTAATCACCCTTGTTTTGACATCGCATGACACAATAAAAACCCCAAAACAAGTGTTGAAGGCACAAACTTCTAAGCATGCAATAACAGAGAAATTACAGAAACCAGACCCTTTTCAATATCATCATCATCAAAATCAAGATCGCCGCCTCTTGGTCCTTCTTCATCATCATCACCACCCTTTTTATTAAGTCCGAGCCTATTTTTTCTAGCTGCCTCTTCTTCTTCGTCTTCGTCTCCCCTATCTGAAACATTGGCTTCATCATCATCCCCTGCAGTTTTTTTACGTCCCCTCCCACTACCACCCTCACTTTCCCGATCATCAAGCTTTTCTACTTCACCAAAGGCGGCAGCTCCATTATTTGCTGCTTTCATCATCCATCTTTGGTACCCATCAGCAGTTTTCCTCCTATTTTTCATCTTCTCTTCAGCTTCCTCCAAAGTGAGTTGCTTATATTGTGCCACTTTGTTAAAATTGTACCTAAAATAAAAAAAAATAAAAAAACACACACACACACAAAGCCATGCTCCCAATAAATTTAGGATCAGCTAAAAGAAAAGGAAATTATTAATAATTGATACACCAAAATAAATACAAAATACTGGACAAATAGGAAAATGGTTACCAGGAACCAGCAGGAATGGCAACAAATTCCTTCCCCTGAAGCATTAGAAGGTAATACGTAGCTGATTGTGAACCCTCAAGCTGACCGTGGTATTGAGACTGGCCAGTTTCATCCTCCAGCAGCCAAGGTTTATTCTTGTACTTATCCTGCACAATTCAACAACACGGCAATAGATACTAGCTAGCAAATAAAGATAATGAGATTAAGTGGAAAGAAACATCCCGATAAAAAGTAACTGAACTAATCAAATATCTAGACTTGTATGATGAATAAAAGTAAGATAAACGGCCTAACTTCACTAATTTGCATATTACAAAATTGGAGTCAAATATTGATTTTTGACTACTAACCATTAAGGAGCTTTCATAATTGCAGGAAAATGTGATAAAGTTTTGGCATTGCTCAACTTACTCATAGCTTACAAGTGCTAAAAATTGTATCATTTACAAAGCAAAGGAGAGACCCAAGCAAAGAATCAAAAAACAGCCTTCAAGTGTTAAACAGAAAATCTTATTTTACTGGCATGTAAATAGTTAGTTTATAATAGGTGTATAGAGAGATTCTAGTAGAAAACGCAAAAGGGTAGAAGAAAATGAGTACCCTCAAGGTGTCAGAAACTTGGCGGCCTTGAAGACCTTCTTTCTGCAGTGACCATTTATTTTCATTCTTCTTCTTAAAAGTTGGTAACCCCGTCGCAAATCTTCCAATAAAGTAATTTTTGTCATTATTGGAGCATGATCTGACATTATATTCCTAAATATGCCAAAAGGTAAGAGCCAATTTCAGAAAGCATTCACAATAAAAGATGTCGAAAAATGTAATGATGAGTAGTTACTCAAATAAAATGAGCTTGAATGCATTCTGAAGACTATGAGCAGCACCATACTTTCATTTCACACTTCCTATTTTGATACATGCCACAGACTATTCTATACAGGAGTTATCAACTACTCCAACTGCTACTTGAATTGTAGTGGTTTATCCTAGCTAAAGAAAAGCATTCACTGATGCATGCACAAATTCAAACTCTTAAAAGTGGATAAATTAATTCAGTATAGCTTTTGACAAAATTTCAAATTCAGGTATTCACCCTTTATCATTTTCCACTAACATGTGTTGGTAATTATGTCTTGGGCTGTCAAGGAAACTTGTAAACATAGACTTCAGTCACTTCCTACTGGAAGATTATTGTCGTCCAGTAAGTAGCTGATTTGTTTGAAAGCAGAAGAAAATGGCAGATGGTAGAAAGAACCTTTTGTTAATGGATGCATCTGTCCAAGAAAAGGACCCCGTGTTTCAGCTTCTAAAACATAGTGTTAGTTGACTTTATTCAGCGAGATATAACAGAATCGGCACTTCCAAAATAGGTTCTTCCTAGTACTCCTTACCAAACCACAACAATCATCAGTTAAAACAAAACTGCAGTGTGTTCTTCAAAGTGCTTTGAGGTAAAAAAGCTACTCCCTCTGTTATTTATTTGCAAATGATAGCGCATAGAAACTAATAGCGACTTCAAAGCTCCATTTATCGAATAAGGAATATCACTCTTTACACGGTGGTAGCTAACTCTCAATTTTGATCCTTTTGTTTATGAAGTCGGAAAAATAGGAGTTTAATTGGAAAAATCAAAGAAAATACTCGATTAGATTCATTTAGTGTTTTTTTACGCAGTTCTAGTGCAAACAAATATCGATAAACATAAGATTAATCAAAAACTCCCAATTGTCCACCAGTGCACAACAAGAGTGATAACATCAAAACTAGTAGGTCTTCCCATGAAATTAAACCCAAAAAGAAAACCTTCACAATTTCAACTCCCGACTGTGTCAACTATCGTTAAAGACATAGATGTAAGACGAGTATTCACATATTCAATTATGGTTCTGTCTCTTAATTAGTCTTAGAGAAGGAACCAACCCTAATCAACCGAGTTATGCGAGTGCCACATTCGTAGCACTCCGCGCGGTTCTCAGCCATGGCTTTGCCACACCTCAGGCAAAGCGTTAAGTGCTTGCAGGAGCTACCATACAGCTCCACCGTCGATCCACAACCGCTGCACGAAGGCTTCAGTATCAAATCTATTGACATTTTCTTTGCTAATAATATTTTCCTGCACCAGACAAACAATATTGTTGTTATTCAGAAACTCGCTGATGAATTAAACAGTTAAAATCAAGGATCCGTTTTGAAGGAAAATTAAAGTGGAGATTTTATGGTTTTGATGAATCCAAAATCATTTTGACGAATCCGTAATCATTTAAACAATTAGGCCCGTTTGAATGCGGAGGAGGAAAAGGAAAAAGGAATTCCACCTAAGTTTAAAATAAAAAATCATCAGAATTCGTTTTAGAATGAAAAAGGAATTCCACGTGCAAATCAAACAGTGAAAATTATTTTTCTTGAATATGACATTTTTTATGAAAAATATTGTAATTAAACAGGGCCTTATTGTTTTTCTTTTCCAATAAATTTGAATTTGAATTTATTTTATTATCTGACTTTCCTCGTTTGCCAATTATTGTAGTTTTGATCGACGAGAGGGGTTAACCTTTCTATGAATTCTCAATGAGATGAGATAAATAGCTTGTTTGGGAGCGATTTTTTGCCCCAAAAAATTGATTTTTTTACCTTTATTTCACTATTTCAATTATTATATTAGACTTCTTCTTTCATAAGTGGACCACACTTTTCTTTCAACGGTCAAAAAATCAATTCTCAAAATTACTATCAAACAGGCTCAAAGAAATTGGACCCTGTTTATATATAGAGGAAAAGGAAATGGTCTTCCTTCTCTTCGTTCTCTTCCACCAGTTTTTTCCAATTTTAACTAGAGTCGCGTTTGTTAACTAATCTTCTCTAGGTGGAAGGGAACGTTTCCAGCCCTTCTAGCAACTGGACTAGGTGGGCTCTGCCCCCATTGCAAAAGGGATTGAGCTCTATTGGACTAATTCAAATTTTGTTGGTTAAGTTAAATTCATCAATGGCTATCTAATTTTATATTTAGTGTCATTATAATTATCCAATTTTATTTTGTTTTATCATGATCGTCCAATTTGATTTTATTTCAACGTGATCACCCAATTTCTTATACGTTTCACCAAACCACGCAACTTTTTTTTTCACTATTTTCATTAAAAGTGTGTTTGATTGCTAATATTTTTTTTATGAAAAATGTTCCTACTTTTGTTCTATTTGATTGATATTTTTTTCCAAAAAAAAAAATTCCTACTTTTAATCATATGATCATATTTTCCTTTAAAACAAGGAAAATATTTTATCTAGGGAAGTATGTTTTTATTTTCCAAGTAATTCACCCTCACTTTCTCTCTCATCTGCTCTCCCAGGATACCTACCAATAAAAATAAATAAGTATAACATTTTTTAGATTGAAAATAAAAATCAATCAAACCATATAATTGATAATTTTCATGCTAATAATTTCTAAACAATTCAATTGCCTAGAATTTTCTTTTCATGTATTAAGAAACAATGACATGACACTTCATTTAATTGGTGAATAAAACTTTTCTTTAATTTTATTTCTTTAATTTTAAAAAAGGCTGTTTAAAATAAGTTTTTATTTTATTTTATTTTTCTAAGTAATGTTTTACGAAAAAAAGTTTTTATTTTACTTTAAAAATATTAATTTAAATAATTTTTTTAAGGAACCTTATTCTTAAAAAAAAAAACATTTTTTTTTAATTTTTTGCTAAGTAATTTTTTAAATAAGTTTTTATTTTTTATTTTATTTTTTTAAGTAACATTTTAAAAAAAATAAGTTTTCTAATTTATTTTTTACGTATAATGCGAAATTACCATTTTACCTATTTTAAGATTAGTGAAATCAGTAAAAAGAAGTTAGGTGATAATGGTGAAACATTATATGAAGTTCGGCGGTAATGGTAACACTAATTTTAATATTGGGTGGTTATAATGAAACAAAATCAAATTGGATAATCATTGTTGCACTAGAGGGTGTTTGAGAGCCATTGATTTTGGCCAATAATTAATTATGGGACTGTTGGCATTTATTCGTCTGACACCCCGTGTGAAGTAAACAGAGACGACGGCTGTATCTTTTCCATAAACTACCATTTTCAACAGGTGTTAGGCACAATTTGAATTGTATTTATTTTTGATAAGTAGAAAGGATAAAGTTGGAATTTTATGCCATTTGAATTCAAATAACAATAAACAATGGTGTGTAGGTCCCACACTGACGAGATGGAGAAAATGCATTTTGGATAAAAATGAGGATCAAACGGGGGCTAAGTATACAGTTAGGTGGCATTAGTGGATTTAATCCTCTGAAGTCTCATAGAAATCATGTGTACAAGGTTAAGTTCACAGTTAACTGTCCAATCAGCTTGTTTAGGTGTTTATTTGAAGTTTTTTATTCAATAGTGACAAATGTCGATCCCCATATATAATTTTACAACTTTAAGAAGACCCGTACAATTGGTAATAGTTGCCTGTGCCTGATATGATCCCATTTTGCGAGGAGCATCCATTCTCTTGAGATTACGGAGCTATTTTTGTTGAGTTCATTAAAGAAATTTGTCAAATGCCTCTAAGCATTCTCTACTTACTCATACGTGTCGATTTCGTGCAGTGGTGAATTTAAGAATTCAAGTGAGTTAGGGTACATCTAGGCAATCGCACTTGGCCATCCAATATATGGGAGAAATTTTTTTGGTGTAGCAAGCACGAACAATCGCCATGGCTTGTCAGGTGCTAACTCCATCCCTAGTTTCAGATACAAACATCCTTTTATATAAAGGTTGTTTAAGCTTTTTTTTAGGAGTATGACGTGAATTACATCTGCATCATAATACTCAACTCAAATTTATTTTAATTATAGTGTTTTAGAAAAAGTAAAATATGACTTCATATGGCTACACAATTCATTTAAAGTGTGCTTAGTTTGTCGTTTTGAAGCCACTTTCAATTTTTTATCTTCCAAAACATTCAAACGTGTTTGATATGTTATTTTTAAAAATATATTTTCGAAAACAAGAAAAAATTTATAACATAAAACTCAAAATGACTTTTTGAAGTTTTGAGTGTTTTCAGAAATACTCAAAAAACTCAAAAGAAGGGAAATGAACTTAAAAATTTCTTAAATTAAAATAATTAATAAAATCACACAAAACATATTTAAGTACAAATGCCCATCTCTTTCTCTCTCTTCAAAAGCTCCTTCAAAATGTTATAAAATTATTTCTAAAATTTTCAAACAAAAAGAGTTTCCTAGTTTTTTTTTTTTTTTAGAAATAGTTTTTCAAAATGATAAACTAAACAAGTTTACTACAATCTTAAAATAATCTCTTAAAATAGAAAATAGAAAATAAATTCAAAATTGAAAACAGAAATACAAATCAAACGCACCTTTACATTATATATTTTGACCCCCAGTTTGAGCTCTATTAAATTTATAATACATTTTTCTCTATTTTTTTTAATCATACATTTTTCAATAAAATAATATTACATATAAATAAAAAAATTTCTTATTTTTAAACCACATTTTCTAAAAAAAATATTATTCTAAAAATTATAACATTAATGGGCCAAAAGGGGCTTAATGAAGCGTGCGGCTTACCCGTCGGCCATCCTCCAAAGTTGGCTGGCCTTGATATAAATAACACCCATAATTTTCAAGTGGGACCGGGAGAGACAATCGCAACAAAGCTCAGCCGTTGATCTCATCTACCACTCCCCTTGATCTTCTCTACTTCGTAGTCATATTACTTCTCCCACTTCTCAGTCCCCACTCTAACCTTACTTCCGACGTCGTTTTCCAGTAGCTACTATGGTGCTGAAGTCATTCGTCGAAGTCCAACCGGATTCTCATTTCCCCATTCAGAACCTTCCGTACGGCGTTTTCCGGCCCGCACCCGGTTCGGAGCCCAGACCTGGAGTTGCAATTGGAGAATATGTATTGGACCTATCTGTCGTCGCCTCGGCCGGTCTGTTCGATGGCCCGGTTCTTAAAAACTCCGATTGTTTCAATCAGGTCCGTTTATTTCTCATCGGCTAAGTGATGGTTGTTCATTGAATTGGTTTACTATTTGTTCGAATTTTAAAGGGAAAGAAACAAAATTCTGCATGTAGTTTATTTTATGGGTTTATCTTTTCTTTTAGGAAAATTATTTTATTTATTTATTATTTTAGTTTGACGAGTATTGACGGATTACTGAAATAATAATATATTTTGCATCTATAGTGTAAAAGAAATGACATGAGAGTTCAGTAATTAATTTGTCATTTATATAATCTTAGAGACCCTAGTCCCTCGTGAACTCAAATTGGAGGTATGACGAACATCTATTAAGCTTAGCCAATCAAGCTACGTATGTTTTTGTTTTATATCTTCGTTCATGCCATTTAAGTTTTTGAAATGACAAAAAATATATTATATACAAGGAGACGGAGATAGATGTAATTTTATTGATAATATACTATAAGCTGAACAGATGAATATGTAATGTATTTGTACATCATGCTTGAGTAATCGTGTCACTGTACATTTCTTTCACTGATGGTTGAGGAAAGGACACCCACACACACACACACACATACTGGATTGCTAGTGGTTGCTGGTGAGGGATTAATTAAAATATGATACAGGTTAATCTTAACAAGTTCGTGGGATTGGGACGACCTGCATGGAAGGAAGCTCGTGTGACATTGCAAAAGCTATTGTCAGGTAAGTTCCCTACCTCCCCTTCTTAGATAGTTTTCTGCATTACAGAATTTTTATTTTTCTAGTTTTATGTATCAAATAGTAAAATATAAAAGATACGGGCACGTTAGTTTTTGAATTCCTTCGTTAGCTTCCCTGCATATTAGACATAATCCGAAGCTTGTTTATTTTGCTTTTTAATAATGCAGCCACAGAACCAACACTGCGTGATAACCCAAGTTTAAGGCAGAAAGCGCTTGTGCCTGTGGTAGGACTTGTACATGTCTTTCAGTTTAAATAACTGACGAAGTTTGGGACATTGTCATTCAAAGTTTTGCCTTTTCTGATGATTCAGGTACAGGTCCAAATGCTTCTTCCTGTTGTGATAGGTGACTATACCGATTTCTTTGCATCAATGCATCACGCAAAGAACTGTGGACTTATATTCCGAGGCCCAGAAAATCCAATCAACCCAAATTGGTACAGTTTATTTTGGATCTCTCTTTAAAAGCAAAAGTATTTTCAGTAGAACTAGCAAAATAATTGCAGTGCTATCACTCTTTGTGCTTTCTAAAGTTTCTGCTTCTTCATTGGTTACGAATTATTTTTCCAGGTTCCACATTCCTATTGCTTACCATGGTCGTGCATCATCTATTGTCATATCTGGCACTGATATCATTAGACCAAGGTGAAAAAATGCAAGCGCCCTTTAATTCTTTTGAAAATTATTTTGATTACAGATTGTTCCAGATTAAGAAAAGAACTAAAGCAGACAAGGTTTTCCAAGGAATTGTAGTGTCACTAATTTTATCTATGCTTCTCTGTACTACATTCTCAAAACATGCCCCGCTTCTGGGGGTAACACTTTATTTTTATTGCTTGCATAGCTGCAGTTTTCTACAACAAACTGAAAAGCTTATGAATCACACAAAGCGTATCATGCTTATATAAAGGTTAAAAGGTTTTACAATGAATAGGCTTAGAACTTATACTGAATGCCAATTTACTAGAGCAAATTAATGATATTCCCTTTTGTTGACTAATGAGTTAAGCTGAATTGGTGCTACAACAGATACCACGGATGTTTTAGTGTATTTGTCCATGTCTATCACAATTACATTGCAGACCTTTTGAGATTCACGACTATAGTGGCTACCATTATATTTTACATGAAGCAAATTTGGAAGCAAAGTAGAAGTTGTCAAATTAGCCTCATGGTAACAGCGATGAAATGCAGAGAAAAAATCAATTTTGAATTATTTTCCTCCAAACTCCAAATCGTAGCTTCGAGTTCATCTTTTATTTTACTAAACTACCCAGCTTCATTTTTTGTGAATGGCGTGGTTATCAATCTTGAAGAACACTTTAACTTTAACTTGGTCATCAATTTTGAGAGTATAATAAGTATAACGTGTTCAAGAAGGCCAGTATTTGTGGCCAGGTTCTGATGCACTAGCGCGCCATAATTTTTCTTCTGTTTTATAAAGAGTGACCATGGCCTAGTTAGTCCCCTACCTAAGTTGAGGGACATTGAGTATACTGGGGGCAAACATCTTGTCTCAACCACAGCATGTTAATGCCACATTAGGCAATAGTCCTTCTCCTTAATGTAAATTTCAATATCCTGACCATCTGTATTTATCATGCACAAATGCTTTTCCTTATAAAATATTTGTACAAACTTCAAAGAATTAAAGGTTGATTGCAAATAATCTATGTCACTGAAAATTGCTTTATTTACTTGGTTGTAGTCAACTCTCTTGTTAGCATGTTTTATACCAGAAATGCTTAGATGGTTTTCCTCATGATTCTGCTGTTTTTGTTTGTCCAGAGGACAAGGCCATCCACCTGGAAATTCTCCACCCTATTTTGGACCTTCTCGGAAGTTGGACTTTGAGATGGAAATGGTGAGTTTTTATGTCATTATGAAAAATTGATAGTTTCTTGTGGGTGACACAGTTCCAATATATGATGGGTGGTACACACTTACCACATTCACATTTTCAGTTCAACATATAGCCACAGTCACTGGTTTCAAATTCTTTTTATGCTTTTCATGTTTATTTATCACTTATCATTTACTCCTTGTGGAACTTATCCCATTTTAATATTGTTTCAAGGCTGCTGTAGTTGGCCCTGGAAATGAACTGGGGAAACCTGTGGATGTTAACGAGGCTGCAGATCATATCTTTGGACTTGTTTTGATGAATGACTGGAGTGGTATGCACGAAATCTCTCTTATATTTAAGTTCATCCAAGTTATCTATTTGGAACATCATCAGTTTGATTTTTGATATCATACTGATGATGAGCTGCTGTCAACAGCAAGAGATATTCAGGCATGGGAATATGTGCCTCTTGGTCCTTTTCTTGGCAAAAGTTTTGGTAAGATATCCGAGTGCTACTGATCATTTTGGACTCTTTCAAAGAAAATCAAAGTTTCTTAGTAATATATATTCTTGATTTTGAAGATTGTGTTTATGCATTATCAGTTGTCATTTGACTGATTGATGCAAAATCTTATCTTTTGATTGTTTGTCCTTTCCAGGTACGACTATATCCCCTTGGATTGTGACTTTAGATGCTCTTGAACCATTTGCTTCTGATGCTCCAAAGAAGGTACCTCATATGGGATAACAAGGGCAGTTAACCTGGTTTTTACACAGCATAACCTAGTTGAAATCTTAATTGCAGAATCCTCCACCCTTGCCATATCTTGCTGAGAAGATATCCAAAAACTATGACATCTCCTTGCAGGTGCTTGGCTCCTCTAAATATATGTACAGATAATGATTTAGCTAATACTAGTAGTTTTTAGAATAAAAAAGATTCATTTTGGATGTGAACTGAATTTGACCATTTCAAACCATATGCATTGCATAACAAAATAACTAGTTTTTTATTTATCTATCTGTAAGTAAAATTTGTATTTTTACTCGTGGATGCCACAGAATGTTTGTTGTTACCGTTGAACTTGCTTGTTTACTACCAGGTATCCATTAAACCTGCTGGCGAAGAAGATAGATGCATTGTCACAAGAAGCAACTTCAAGCACCTGTAGGTGTCTCCTTTTTTTTTTTTTTTTTTTTTTTTAATATAACTATATATGATAGTCTTGATGCCAATTTATTATGACCAATATAACTATATATGATAGTCTTGATGCCAATTTATTTGCTATCCGGTGATACAGATATTGGACAATCACTCAGCAACTTGCACACCATACCATCAATGGCTGCAACTTAAGGCCTGGTGATCTCCTTGGGACTGGGACCATCAGTGGACCTGTAAGATACCATTCCTAGATGATACTTTCATTAAGTTTTGATCCAATGTTGCTTCTTTTTACTCAAATGGGCAATAATGCAGTAAATGTTTCATCTACTGGATTATCAACTTGAGTTCCTTTGCAGGAACCAGAATCCTATGGATGCTTGTTAGAGTTAACCTGGAATGGACAAAAACCTTTATCTTTAGGTGGATCAACTCGTAAATTTCTGGAAGATGGAGACGAAGTCATTTTTACAGGCTGTTGCAAGGTTCTCATTTTTTTTTCCTTGGATTTGTTTACTTCTATAATGGATTTTCTTATAGTTTTTAGTATTTAAATCAGATATTCGGTAAAAGAAGTTGAGTTTAGTCAGACAGACTTGGATATAGCATCATTTTCTTCTTTGGATAGATCATCGTTTTCTCCTTTCTTTATTTTAGGTTCAGTTCATTGCTGAATGGGAAAAAAAAATGATAAATAGCAAAAGTTATGTCGTGCTTTTTTCCTTTCTAGGGTCATTAAGAGCTTGTGAGGAAGAAATTATTTGTAAAGTGATTACTGATTTTTTTGGAGAAGGTGGTTACAAAATTGTATGGAAAAATTATAAGGAAACTTGATTTTTTTTTTTGGGAGAATGTGTGGTAGAAAATTAGCAAGATTTTAGTTTCTTTTTCATTTTTATTAATGGCCAATATTGTGAATCAACCTAACACATGAAAAGGGATAATAAGGCTGCTCATTATAGCGCCCTTACTAGGGTTGTTTGACCTTGGACGTCAATATATACATCTGTTACAGGATTATGTGCATATTCATGTATTAAAAAGCATGATTTGGTTGCAGGGGGATGGTTACCTTGTTGGCTTTGGAACCTGCTCGGGAAAGATTCTCCCATCACCATCTTGAAAACCAGTTTTTGCTGGTTTGGACGTGTTTTTCTTCCTCTCTTGACCTCCAAATTCGCAGGTGTATACTCAGGAGACTGGACTAGCCATTGTTTTATGGAAATATGTTATGCATTCATCCTCGTACTGCAAATAATAACTCAGACATAACATGCCTAGTTGTTGAATGAAGTTTTTCGAGTAATTGCAGAAAAATTGGAAGTATTAAGTAGTTGAGAGAGAGAGAGAGAGAACCGAAAAAGAAGAATAAAGAAGAGGAAGATGTGATCATAGACTCTGGTATATGATTCAGTGTCTCACATAGACAGAAAAGGAATGCTTTATGCATGATATTATAGATGGGTCTATGATTAGAATGACCCACTCCATAGATGTGAAGTTTATATTTAGAACCAGAGGTGTCAAAATGGATGAATCCGACCTGAGTGAGACCTAGGCTGGTGAGTTGGATGGGTCAAACCTTAAGCAGCCGGCAATGCCAAAATTCTGTTCGGATACCTTGAAAATTGGACCGATCTGATTTTCATTTAAATCAGAATCATTGGTTTTACAGGAAAAAGGAAATGGACTGGACCGAAATCGCATGGTTCTCGTCCGATGTGGTCCCTATTTTTCCTTGCAACCATTGGTTTTGGCCAAGTATTTTTATGCATCAAAAATAAATTTTAAAGCGTAAATCATCGCATAAATTTTCTTATGTCACTTTTACACCTTAGTAATTCTAAATGCGTATGAATTAAGATATCAGTAATTGTTCGAATAGGGTGATTTTGGGTAAAAATTCCCACCCTTATCTTGACGCTACCATCTATAATTATCAGGTTGATTAAGGAAAAGAGTTTTGGAAGATAAGTAATAAGCAAATTCTGATTCTCTAAAGATGATGGAGTTTGGACTGGTGCATATGGCCAAACTTCTTCTATGTTGTATAATACTCGTGTGCTTGATTTTTGCGCTTGTTGAGCCATTGAAAGTTTTTTAGATGACAAATTTCTTCGATGTTGTTAATCTCAGCCCTTGTTTGAGCCCCTTTTTTTCGGAAGAATGAATTTTTGAATAGTGTATTGATGAGAAATGCGTGGTTAAAAAATAAAGAAAATTTTTGAATTTGCGTGGAATATTATTTTATTGAAGAATGTGTGGTTGAAATGATGTCAAAATATTGTTGAAAAATGTATTTTTCCTAAAAAATGGGGTTCAAACAAGGGCTGAGATGTTGATTAAATTATGCCTTTACTCATTTCAGTTGTGAATGCATTTAAGCTCTTGTTTGGCAGGTTTTGAAAAGTCAAAAGCTGATTTTAAGATTAAGAAGTTAATTTTGCACATATTATGGATAAAGTTTTAAGCACTTTGTCAAGTTAGAAGAACTTTTCGAGAAAGTTAGCCTAATGTGACTTCTTCAAGAAGTTATCCTTGATCTAGCCAGGAAATACTACTGGTCATCGACTATTGGAAGTCCCAAGGTTGAAGACACGTTCTTCCACAAAAAGTAGAAGCGCCCTAAATAGTAAATACACACATGTGAGTACACACGTTCAAGCACAATTATTAGAAGAAATCTTCAATCCTTCCAACACAGAAGACTTATATAGATGTACTTTCTCAAGACAAATATACGTTAACCAGACTATCGAAACTCACTCTTATCTAACTCGAACAGCTACATTTGCATTGCAACAAGCATTTCTTGCAATCGGCTAGCCTCGGATATCCACCATTGCAGTCACATTTCTCGACACACTTTGATCAACGAGTTCCATACCACAAACACCTAGCCATGCATTGCATTATCGGAACACATCCCGGGCAACTCGATTTCATTTGATTTGTGATACAGTTACTGCACTCAGTTACATCTGAATGACAGGCCATTGAAGGGAAAGCCATCTCCCACAGTATCAGCACTAGCATGCATTCCATAGCCATTTTTGACAGCCAAATTTTCTTTCCCATTTCTTCACATTGAAACTATAACCTACTTTATATGCAGGCTCTTAAATTTATATACTATTTATAATACTTCTTCTTGCCTTTAAGAGATCATATAATTCTTACACTTTGGTCTCTTTATAATTAATGCTTATTTCCGTATTGAAATTTGGATTTTCTTGGATTGCTCAATATTATATCTCCTCGTTTTTGCCGAAAAATTTGCCTTTTGTTTAAACTTTTAGATATGATATGATTGGGTTAAAAGCATTGTAAAGTTCTAGAATACTCTTTTTCTTGAATATCATTGAAAAAAAAAAATCAGATTGCCCAGTATTCCACCAATTAGTAACCCAAAATTCCATACTTTTCGTAAATGAAAGAGAAATCCACCAGAGCATAAAACTATTAATTGATAATAAAACTATCTAGTTTTAAAGAGTTCAAGTTGAGGATAGTATAAAATACACGAAAATCTTAAGAAAACCGAATCACGTGAAATTTTACCCAACTCCATATTTGTAATGAAATATATGAACTGCGTATTGATCACTAAACTTCAATTTTTCTTTGTTTGGTTTCCAAATTTTAAAAGTTGTTTTTCCTCAAATTCATTTTCAACTAGCCATTTTATGGGGCTCATAACTTTTCAACTATAATTTCATCAACTTTTATCAAAATCTACTAAAAATATGATTTTTAGCTAAATCAAATATGGTTTTGTTTCATTTGGTCACTAGATGTAAAAGTATTTCAACTTGGGCGTTGGGCTTAAATATTTTTTATGATTCCATCGATATTTGTCAATTTTTACTAGGTGAAAAGTTGATGTACGGTAGCTCACAAATAACTAGACTTTTATGTCACATACATTCTATTATTCAAACTTGACTAAATGAAAATTGATTTACGATAACATATTTTGTTATTTAAACTTAACTATAGCGACGGGTCGGGCCATTTTAGAATGCGACACTTCTAGTGCAAAACATTGCAGGGCAAACAAAGACCACTAAGTCTCATTACCAATCATTATGTTGTATTACTCCAACAATTTTTCTTTGCTAATAACCTTCATTGAATGTGTTGACAAACGTATGCTGTTTCCTTCCAAGTTTTGTACCAGAAATTTGTACCAAACTTCACCCAATTCAAGCTTGCATCCTTCACAAAATCAAACACAGCTGCATACTCTGCAATTGCTCTTTCATCCACTTTGTATTCAAGCAGTTCTGGCAAGACTAGCCTCATGAATGTGTATACAACAAAACCAAACACCAATGGCCCTGTGATTAGTTGTGGCACGCGCCATTTAACGTTAATTTTCCCAATCAATTTGTTCTCGGCTATGATGCATAGCCCTTGAACAAGGAAGAACGTTGTTGTACCCCATCTAGGCATAACGCGGCATAAATAGTAAACAATGATCTCGTGCATGAATGCAGACACGAGGAATGTACCTAGTAAGGCCGATGTTACAGCCAAATTTGGACCAACGATCCTCGACACATTCTTGAGGATTGGGCCGTATACAACCAAACGTAGAGTGTTCGAGGTTACACAATTCCATCTTCGACCCCAAAAGTCTTTCAACGAGGACGCGAAATACGGGTTATTAAATGGTGACTCGACCTCCGTTCTTAACAAGAATTGACCAATAACGGCCACCACCCCTAGCATCACTTCCAAGCCAACGACGATAAACAAGCACGTGATGAATGCTATAAAATCTTGGTGAAATTTGTGTCTATAAAGATTCAAAATCAGCAAAAATATCAAAAACAAACCCTGATTTCCATAATGCAAAAGGGATTTCACACTGTTTTTCCTATGCATATTAGGGTTCATATGTTCTCCATTAACAGGAGACTTCTCTGAATTTTCGTCGTTTATAGGAGATTTTAAAGTTGTGGGTTGGTATTGCATCACAATTGGAAAACAAGAAATGACAAGAAAATGAGAAAGGGGGAGTGATGGATTGGACAAAGGGCCAGTTCCAAATGCTAAGAGTAGCAATTTAGAAGAAGTTAACCATGTGACAAAAAATACAGTTAGACAACCTAAATTGACAGAGTTTAAGTTCATAGGAAGAACAAAAAAGAGACATATTACAGGCATGAACATGCATAATCTTGTTGTACCTTTACCAGTTTGTTTAGCTATGGCATAACAATAGCATACTGATAGGAGTATTGAAGACCACACCATAAAGAAAATCTTGATCTCTCCCTCCATGCTCTCTCTGATTTTTGACAATAAAATGATAGAGCAATGCATGTCTTATTATAGTGTTGGTAATCATGGAATTTTTAGCAAAATATAATGTTAGTTACTGAATTTCATTTGTTTCGAATTGATAGCCAAACTTAAACATATCTTTCAAGTTGATCGATCCGTCAATGTCACTTATTATTTGACTAGTGGAAAAATTGGCATGGCAACCTAATTGACTAGTAACTAGATTGTCAGGTCACCGATTCCTTAGGCACCTGTTTGGTTTGCGATAAAATCAGATTTTTAGTAGAATTTAATAAAAAATATATTGATGAAAATGTATGATTAAAAAGTTGCGAATCCCTTGAAATGTGTGGTTACAATTAATTATTAAACTTGACTTAAAATTTATCAACTTTTTAAGTACTCAACTTGTAACGAAACAAACATGTGACTAACGTGAAAATTTTCTAAAAGTTCACTGACCACACGTTGTAAATTAAGCGAGTCATGCGGTTTTATGGACCGGAATTTCTCTCATTTATTGGGCTCATTTTTGGCCGATAACGTCAGATTTTTTCGTACATTGAATAAATTCATGATTTTTTATTGCAAAAATAAATTTTAAAAAAAATAACAAAATAAAATGCATATTGCATGTGATTTGATTCGGTTGTTGTCACAAGTTCAATCACTAATGTGTGAGTCGAGCAATGACCATTTGTGATTATTTTTTTTTTCTTGCCAATTTTTCGTTACAAAAACCCTCACAAGTTTTTTAGCTGATTGAAATTAATATTCAAGTTCACCAAGAAAAAAACGATTTAACTATCGATGATGTTAGGCTAAGCTTAAACAAAAGTAACTTGTACCACACATGTTTGAATATGTTGCTTATTCTTTTGTTTCTTATCTTCCCGAAGACGCGATATTCCAAATTAATAAACTAGGCCTTGTTTGAGTCCCATTATTTTTAAAAAATATATTATTAAACAGTGATTTGATATCATTTCAACCACACATTTTTTAATAAAATAATATTACACGAAAATCTAAAATTTTTCTTTATTTTTTAACCACACATTCTCCATCAATCTATTATTTCAAAATACATTCTTCAAAAATAATGTGGCTCAAACACACACTAATTTCCTATAACACAAAATGTGGGGAAGGGTTGGGCCTAATTTTCTTGGTGTACGATTGGTATGAGCCAATTGAGCTCAAATTGTTAAATGATGGGCCAAGGAAGATGGGAATTTACAAAAATAGCACTAAAAGGAGGGTGAACTATGTATTAGTGGTATTATGTAAACTTTTACATTAGCAACTCTTATTTTTCAAGTTTTGCTGGTGTAAAAACTAATATTAAACTTCTTTCTTCGATTAATACAATTTCAAGAAATTCTTTGAAGAAGGTTTATGCAACTAATTTGCTTTGAACAATTATCAATACTCATATTGGGCAAATGTAGGCCCACGTTTAAAAATGCGGTTAAGACATTAATCAAGAAACGTTAAAGGGTTGAAAATAAAATAGTCAAATTAGTTGTAGTAAAAAGACAGATAAGCAAAAATAAATTGAAGGTGAGCTGGCCAATTCTAGGTTTGATAAAGATTCAAAATTTTCGACTTTTTTTTTTCTATAATCGAACCATTTTTTCGAATTTCATTATCAAACTAGATCTCCTCTCGAACTAGGGTCGAACCTTGATGTTCAACTACAATTTAGTTAAAATCAAACTAATGACTAGCTTTTAGTTTCAGTGCTTTATATCATTCATTGAACAATTACTACTTATTTGTCCCTTGATCCAATTATTGTAGCATATGGCCCTTCATGAAATAATTTATAGCATTGATTTTTCAGCAATATATAATATAACGGGAATTATCTCTAATATTATCCAAATTACCCCTTCATAATAATTTTCATAATAAATTGATTTATTGATAATTATTTTTATGGCTACATGCTTATTATAATCTATTTTTGGATTAAAAATAGGAAATTTGAAGCTCTAATTTTTCTTTTTTAAAAGACACGCTATAATCAAGAAAAGCATTGTAAAAGTGTGGTAAGGGACTCTTTTGCTTTTTCTTTACTTCTTTTTTTCTTTTTTGGAGGACCAAGTCTTTCAAAGTAAATAATCTTGAATTAGTGCTAGATAAAGAGAGATTAGTGGGTTAGTAATGAAAGCAAATTCAAATGAAAGACAGATAATTAAAGACATGTAGTACATTGAATTAGTTGTAAAAGTTTGTGTTCACATTTCACAACAATACGTATTATGTAGATTTTATGTTGTGCTGTCTAAATGGGCCCGAAATAGACATGTTTCGATTCGAGTTCATGTTATAATGGTACATCAAAATTCAACTTCGCTCACTCTATTTTTTGTTTTCACGATTTATTTCATTATTCGAGCTCTCTTTCTTAAACTCTATACCTTTTCACTCGACCATCTTCACACCCTGACATTTTGAAAACCACTTTCCTCGAATGAAACCAAGTAACCAACTCAAAACGCATATTAGCTAGTTGTCTGTGGCAGTACTTCAAAATTAACTCATTTTTCATTAGAAATTAACCATACTTCAATTTTCAAATCTGACAGGGCCCCATGCCTAATCTATTAGATTGGACAAGAAATCCTCATTTTACTCATTCCAATCCATCATAATCAAATCTTAAGACTGTGATTCAATTAAGGCCCGTTTGGCAGTGATTATAAGAATTAATTTTTTGACATTTAAAGAGAAAAGCGAGTCTCAATTTGTGAGAAAAAAATAAAAAATGACGACTGAAATAGTGACATAACCGTCAAAAAATTAATTTTTTAGAGTGAAAAATTATTACCAAACAGGGTCTTTGTGTTATTAAATGGGACAAGTCAGCTCATCGTCTAAAAGTAAAAATTTATTTTTAATTTACTTGACTAGCCCATGAACAGCGTAATAATGCCATGATCAATTCCGTCGAAGATATTTACACGTGTCATGTCCTTACTTGCTGATGCCATGGTTAACAGTATATCCTGGTAGGTCCTCTCCACCGTCCAAATTTCTAATCAACTTTTAATCTACATGCGCCTACAGCAGCATATGGGGTACTGCCATTGCCCTGGATCTTCAGAATTTTGATTCCACCGTCCTGACTTATCTTGGAGAAAAGAAAATTTTTAAATAATATAAATATGGACATGTTTGAGTTACATTTTTTTTAAAAAATATATATTTTTAAACAGTAATTTGACATCATTTTAATCAAAAATTATTCAATAAAATAATATTACATGCAAATTCAAAATTTTCTTTATTTTTTAACTACACATTTTTCATTAATACACTATTAAAAAATTCATTCCAAGGAAAATAATGTGGTTCAAACAAGGAAGTTTTGAAATTGAGTTATTTTAAAAATAAAATAGTTAAATATTGAAAATCCTCATGAAATGGTTGAATAAATTACATTCTCTCGATTGAAATTCAACTATTGATCAGTAATATTTTAGTGCTAGTGACGACAATTATTTCAATTTATAATTTAGTGAAAATTGAATTTTTTTTTTTCATGGTTTCCTATTGAAATGTTAATATTCTTGATAGCATAATCTTATAAATATGTTTAAATTAATTAATCAATTAATAATGCAAAGCAAAACGGGTTTTGACGGGGGACATGACCAGAGATTCAGTGCGGATGACTGCGATCCAGCGTGGCATCTCATGTGGGTCCAAAGTCACGAGTGTACTACCTGGAAAGCATCTTCAGATGTGGGTCCATTTCCCAAAGCTCAATTTGATGCAGTACAAAAGGAGGGTGCTGATTTTGAAAAAAGAAAAGGTTTATATGGACCTAAATCCAAAGGTACGACACGTCAGCATATTGCGACGTGTGTCCCTTCTTAACACCAAACCGTTGTCACGCCTGTTTGGCCTTTGAACCACAATTGGTTTATTGTTGTTTTAAATAAAATATTATTTGATTTTATAAGTCATTTTGTTTCCTTGATTGATAAGTAAAAATTGTATATAGTCCCCGTTTGGTCCCCATTAATTTTTATTTTATTACATTTTTTTTATATTCAATCACACAATCTTCCACAAAAAATATTACATGTAAATTGAAAACTTCTCAATTTTTTTAACCACTTATTTTTCAAAAAAAACACCATTCCATCAATTTCCATTTCTACAAAATGGGAGCCAAATATGGGCTAAATAATTGAATAAGAAGGGCCTGTTTGATATCCTCCATTTACCATGGTCCACCCAAATGTGTTGTTTGATGACCAAAATTTTCCATGAAATTGCTTTTCTACCCTACCCCCCGCGCCCCACATGACCTATTTTCTTGCTTTTTAATGAAAATAAATTCCTTGGTTTTGGTGAAAATTGGGTTTTCATCTTCCTTTTTATTTATTTTTTGGCAATGGAAACAAATTCTATTCAAAATTGTAACATATTCTGTCACTTTAATTGACAATTTTCATGAAAAACAAAATCAAACGAATACTATAAGATCCAAAATTTCAACATTTTTCAGATAAAAAATTATACTAGTCAAACACATTTAATTGATAATTCCCAATAAAATAAGTTCTAGGCAATTCAATTCTATGAAATTCGTTTTCTTTCCACCCAAATTTCATTCTTACAATCAAATGGACCCTAATTAGTTATTTGTACAATTTTGCATAGTGAGTTGGGGCAAAGTAGCAAAATTAAGTTTCAAGTCTTACACGTTTAGACTTTTCTCTAAGGGCCTATTTGATTGGCTTCATTTTTCATGGAAAATGGAATTTAATTTTTCATGGTATTGGTTTTCCACCCAATCCCCCACGTGAACCCTTTTTCTAGGTTTTTAAGGAATTGGTTTTCCTTTGGTTTTGATGGACATTGGCTTTCCAGCTGCTCTTTTTCATTTAATTTTTAAAATTTTTTTTGGAGAATTGGAACAGATTCTATCCCCAATTGTAACAAATTTTATCTCTTCAATCGACAAATTTCATAAAAAAACAAAGCCAAACGAACACCAAAAGATAAAAAATTTCAACGTTTTTCAGATGAAAAATTATACCAATCAAACACATTTGATTAACAATTCTCAATAAAACAAGTTTTAGACAATTCAATTCTATTGAATTCGTTTTATTTCCACCAAAATTCCATTATTGCAATCAAGGGACGCTAATAGCAACAATTTGTTTCCTTGTTTTTAATATGATTTTAACTATTTTCATAATAGAAAAAACTAATTCATTATATTTAGTCATTTATTTAACTAGAAAAAAAAATTATAAATGAAACTAGCAAATAAGTGAAAAAAATAAAAAACCATGCGGCTTTGGCTCTTAAGCTCTCATTAATGGGTGCTCACATTTTAAGTGATCAAAATAGGGTTTACAACTTTCTATATGTGAAATGTTTTCTTCACGATTTCTATCTAAATACTGTATTTTTCTATTTTCAAAAGACTGCTTTTTCAATACGGTCCGTTGAATAAATACAACACATCTTACTAAACAAGTCACATTGTAAAACAATTTACAACGCGACCATGCCTAATGTCCTTTGCTCGATATGAGATGGCAATTTGGAATCTCTATAGTGATCCAATCCTTGCTGTTCCCATTATTTAAATTAGTGATATTGATTTCACATCTCTATAAATAGATCTCACGTTGATCAAAATTCTCAACAACACATTATTCCCAAAGCAATCCCTTCTATAATCTTCTGTCTTTGAAATATCAGTTGCAAATCACCCTTCCAAATCAATGGCCACAGCGGAGGTACATATATATATCAATTGTATTCTTTGCACGTTTCTATTTTTCATAAACTCAATCTTGATCGAATTCTTGTCTTCAGATCATACTTCATTATTCCTATTATTTTGATCATTTTGAATTGCTTTAATTTTTACAGGTTGAATCAGTTCCAGTAACAGTGCCAGAGACTGTTAAAACTGATGAAGAAAAAATTCAAGTGGCCGATCAAGTGGAAAAGGTGGCAGCAGAACCACCAAAGGAACTCGCTGCAACTGAGGCTGAGCCACCGGCAGCTGAAGCCAAAACTGAAACTAAAGAGGCTGTGGAAGAACCTAAGGCTCAAGCTGAGACCAAGGAAGTTGCAGCACCTGTAGAAGAAGAAGAAAAATTGCATGTCCAAGAAAAGACGGAAGCAGCAGCTCCAGAGGAGATAGAAGTTACTAACGAAGAAACCCCTGAAACCACCATTGTGCCACCAGCTCAAGTGGAGGAAGAGGTGAAACCGGCTGAAGCTGTGGAGGAGGTTCGCACTGAAATTCAAGTTGAGAAGACTGAGGAGTAAGAAGGTCGTGGTGAATCATTATTGGTTCCTTTGTTTATCTACGAGCTAAGATTTTAATATTTTCTGTTGGGGTTTAAAAGCAGAAGTTATATTAATCTGTCCTTTGGTTCAAGTTAGAAAAGTGATGTATTTTGATGGATTGTGATCTTTGGCTTTGAATAATAATAAATTTGTATTTTTGTTGTTGATTTTCAGTATTATTCACACTACATAAGTCTGCCATTTGTTGAGAATTTCAGCTTTATCACTTCCAATTACAACTATATTATAGCTATAGTATGTGTTAACATAGACTCTTGAACTATGGCCAACACGAGAAATGAGTGAGCATTCAATTCTATAAAACAAGAACACTATATCATAACCAGCACAAAAGTGAAGCAACAGCACCTAATGGGAGTTTCTCGAATGATTAAACCAAACCATGAAACCAATTCGAGAACAGATCTACGTGCTTTCTCTTTCAGATATCACTTTATCATCCTATGATGGGATATGTACAACGTCTAATTGTCAAAATCGCGTCTGCTAGAAAAAGCACAAAGGTCGGGCAGAAATTTCACATTATAAGTGAACTCAATTCACTAAACTCTTGTTTGGTACCGTGGTTTAGAATGCCAAAATAGGTTATTATCTCCAAGCAGACGATGTTACCAAAGCTCTATTTTTCCATCTAAGATATAGCGCGCCATTTTCCTCCCTCAGACAGTAATTCGAGCTATAATCATTCAGCATGTCCTGGATGGCGTTACCAACTGATGAATTCAATGGGACTGGAGAAAAGCCAGCCATTGTAAGTCTCAATCTCCACTTCCCGAAAAGTTCATGCCTTTCCACCCTCTCAGTCCCCTCGCACGCTATTATGTTGACAATGTCCCTTGCCACGCAGTGTTCCTCTGCACTAATCCGCTGCCTATCGTCCCTTGGACGGGCTGCATCAATTGACTCGAACATTGCTGTGTAATAATCTAGAGTTTCACAAAATCGCGGAAAGAATGGGGCGGTGTTCGTATTAGATTCTTGTTCAACAAGGGTTACGACCTTGGGTGACAAGCTCTTAACTAGTCTTAGAAGGCGGTCTCGATGATTTGCGGTGCTTACACTCTCGTCTGGCATGTGGTGAAGCATGTAAGGAAAATTCACGGCCAAGGCTTCTCCGTGTTGAACCTGAAGATTCTCGAGTTGTACCTCACATCCTGACATACCGGCACCGTTGAATTCAAATGGCACTCCACATGCCTCAGCTACTTTGGCTAACCTCTGGCCAACTAGTTGAAGTCCTCCGCCCCGAGCATAAGCTGATTGTGAATCGTCAACGCCAGTAACGCGGGTATATGGGGGCCCACCAGGACGGCATGCAAGTGCCTGAATCAGAGATACCCACTGACTACCCTGTGCAATCTGAAAATCTATTATGTGGATTCTTTTTTCATTTTTCATGGCTTCCCCAATCACGACATTGGCCGACGTGTACGCGAACTTGTAATATGGGCATATCTGATAGAGCACATGCATATAAGACATCAATTCCGAGCTCGTTGGTTCATTGCATTTCAACTTCCTGTAGATGATGCTTCCGGACGCCAAAAGTCTTGCTCGGAGCCCTTCCAACATGTATGCACTCAGCCGTTGCAAGGGCTCACCAGAGACTGATACCCTTTTTTCTAAAATGTTCATTAAAACATCTGCAGTCAACATATCGTCTTCCGATACCGCTTTAGCACAGGAAATGAGAAGCTGTTGTAGGTCCATATTGTGGGCTGTCTCCAAGATTTTGTCGTACCTTGTCAAGGAAGAAGGTTGTGAGACTACACCATTGAAGGAACAACTGTCATCAATATCAGATTCAGGCCCCAACAATTCATACCTCAATACCATTAGTGCCTGCATCAGCTTGTCTTCACCATCAACCCCGGAAAATCCACTCAATGGAGACCCATAAATATTATCAGAAGAGCGATGAAGATCAGACAC